ATGTGTAAAAGTTTAGTTTACCTAGGTTATTGTGTATTCCACACCATCTCTCAGTTATAAGTAACACTCACACATGTCAGCTTAACTTAAGCTTTTCAACAATAAATAAATCAAAGAAAATGAATGAGTAGGCTTTGTTAATTGCACAAAGAAAGAACTTAATGAGACGTATTTCTGGTACAAGCGGGCTGGCTTGCTTGAGCAAGGGGTGGATCACGAGAGATATTTTATGGGAGCACGCCCCCTAGTTGCCATAATTTTGTACGATTTTTCTTTGGGTTCTCCATTCGGACTTTAGGTGAAGGGTTTGTTTCGTGACTTTAGACGGAACTCAAATTCTAACTCGTGTGTTTCAAACGGAAAATTACATTGTGTCATTGCTAGAGGTGGACGCTGTTATTTATTCCTACGTGGTGGCTATGTCTTTCATTAGTCTAGGGCGTGAGGCGCTCCCCCTCTTCTCTTCTATTTCGTATTTATAAGTAGAAGGGAATGAAATAGAGCCCTGCCCTTTTGCAAAGTCTAAAAGAGCACGAGCTCATATTATCCTGGTATTGTGTAGGGCATGATTTAAATGATGAGATTTGTGAATGCCACTCCGTCAAACAGGTTCCACCCTCAATAGAGGTGTTTTGCTGACGGGGCGTAACCTTTAAAAATGGTGATAACTTATCTAAGATCTCTTTTTCGTGAATTACCCCTTTACATGAAGTCGAAGAAAACTCTGGTATTCAAGAGGCCTTTCGTGGATGGCACCCTAATAATGAAATCTAATCCGTAGACGCAGTGATACAGCTTTATTCGTTTGCATTCTACTGAGTCAGGGAACGCACATGATTGCGTGCGTTACGTCAACGGCTCCTGACCTTGTTCGTCGTTCGTTCACATTTAACGAAATTCACAAATTACAGTGTTTGTCCTGTTGAGACTGGTCTGGAACAGAGATACGTTTTTAATTGAGGGTCTAGATTTCTCCCCCACGTAAGCTTTTACAAATAACCACAGGCAGAAAAATGGCAAGGGTGTATTTGGTAGTTCTGTATATTTATATAATATTCGGTGTATTGCATACAAGTAGGTTTATTTCGATGTAAGTCTTTTCAGACACACCAGATTCCAACAAAATATTACAAAAAAAGTGTAGAATTCCGACCGAAAACGATAAGTATTTAATACCTTAGCAAAAAAAAAAAAAAAAAAGAGTTATTTGTTAATTAAAAAAAA